TAATTTTCCCTTTGGGGCCCCGCCCTGGCCCCAGGGGTTGGGGTAGGAATCCCAATTTTACAATTTTGAAGCCTCATCTACCAAGGATGATTCTGACCAAGTTTGAAAAAAATCCATCCACTGGTTCTTGAGAAGAAGTTGAAAATGTAAAAGTTTACGCACGACGCACGACGGACGAAGGACGACGACGGACGAAAAGCGATTGGAATAGGTCACTTGAGCAAAGCTCAGGTGACCTAATAAAATACAAATGCCTGAGTTGACATTATTTCATGTTAAAAAAAAAACTCATTTTCAGACGTAGAAAGTTTATATTTACCCTATATTTAGCCTATATAAAGCTACTGGTAACACTGGGTCAGGCACATAACTACTATTTATATTGATCTTGTTAGACTTGCAGTCGCTGGGTACGTTATACAATATATACTTTCAGTCGCTGGGTACGTTATACAATATATACTTTCAGTCCCTGGGTACGTTATACAATATATACTTGCAGTCGCTGGGTACGTTGTACGGTGTCAGGATATACATGTATATATATATATAGTGGAATTGTACACCCCTGACCACAAGGGCTGTTGATGCATGCGCAACTACTATTAAATTAATATTGATCTTGTTAGACTTTGTCGCTGGATATGGTATATATATATACGATTGGGATATAACGTACCCAGCGACTGAAAGTCTAACAAGATCAATATTTAAAGTAGTTGTGTGCCCTTGTGGTCAGGAGTACAATTCTACTATCCCGACAACCAGGGCTGGTAGATTTTATGTTGGGGCGGTAGCTAATTGAGCAAGTAGAACTTATCAAAATTAACAGGTGTATTCTTCATGACACTGTACATGTAGACCCCATTAGATTATCACATATCCTTGTTTTGATTACAGTATATGAGGTCAATAATTGTTAATCGGAAAAAAAAAAATCCCCCGATACATATGTTCACCTCTAGGTGGTCTTTTTCTAAGATATACAGTCGAACCTTGTTATCTTGTAGTCCACGGGGTCATGGAAAAACTTCTAGTTATCTAGTTATGCAGGTTCATAAAGGTATTAAAGCTGTTTTGACAAAGCACTAGTAGTTGTTGATTTCATTAATAGCCAATGCTTATAACTAATCGATGAATGATATACGTAATCAATAACAAATACAAGTATGTAATTTTACGATAAACACGCTTACAAAAATAGAATTTTAGCCCTTCACACGCTTTTATAACTTCACCCACCGGGTTACGATTTTGACCCGGAATTCGTCCATTTCACCAGTTTTCGCCCATAATATTTTCGTATATTAGAATTTACCAAAGTCACTCGGAATTCTCTAGACTTTTTCATCCTTTGTCGTAAGGAAGACGATTTATTCCCTGTTTCAGTTTCTCATCGACAGGCAAGTTTTGAGTTGTTTACATATGTACTAGAACTGTTTTTACAAATGTTCATATAAAGACTGTTGTAACTGAACTTAACGACAAGTTATTAGTGAGGTGTTTTAACGAATAATTGAGTTGTTTTTACAATTGTATTTATGTAGTACAGTAGATTCCTCTTAATATCACTTCCCATTTGTCAGAGAAAAACATGATATCAACCGAAACATGACATAAACAGAATACATATTTTCTGATGTTTTTCAACCCTCAAAACTGGAAGTGAACTTAGTCAAATGCCTAAGTGATGTGGCTCTATGAAGAAGATTGATATTTTGTAACTAACCTTGTTCTATACCCTAGTTGAAATATATATATATAAGTATAGAAATAAATTTATTATTTGTAATTCATTTCAGTACGCAGTTACATTTCATATTGTTAAGTAGCAAAATGACGATCAGTATGATTGTAATTATGATTGTTTACTGCAGTAGTGATGTAGGCATACAAGTGTTTGGCTGGTATTCTGCATCAAATTCAATTGTAAACATAAGACTTGGTAAATATTTACCTATATCTTGATATATATACTGTTCTTTCTCTAGTAACATCTTTTTATGGGTTAATTTCCTTAGATATTTGCTGCAAGTGTGTAATCGAAGATAGTTACACATGTTATAATTAGTTGAAAGAATACATCACACTTGGCATTAGAAAAGTTTACAGATGTTAGACTGCCCTAGCTCCCCAACCACAGGTGAATATCATGTTAACAAGTATGTAAGTCAACCTATTGTTTAACAGTCAGCCAGGTTTAACCTTTTGTTTGACAGTCAGCCAGGTGTAAAAAATTCCCTGTTAGGTCAAGGCATTCTTTACATAATGCGTCCAGGGTGTGAAAGAAGGTCCCCAGGGCATTTATCTTGAATCATTACCACCATTTACCTGTATTTTTTTTGTGGCAGTGGCCAAAATAAAGTGATATTAAGAGAAATCAACATAAAATCAGGTGATAATAAAAGAATTGAATTGCATAGATTATATGGCAGGAAAAACGGTGCCTCAAAAAAACATGATAATAACCGAAAAGTGACATTAACAGACGTGATATTAGGTGAAATGTACTGTATATAGATAGTTTTTTGAAGGCAACGTTATGTCTTCTTGAAGGAAGAAGTCGTTATCAGGACTTGCAGTTTCTACTACACAAAATGCTATAAAAAGAAAAGATAATTGTGCACATATCAAATGTCGTAGGAAAATGAGTTATAGTGGATAAAGTCTGGTCGTTGTGGACCAAACGCTCCATTCTGACTCTTTGTAAATAGCATATATCAGTTGGATCTGGTGCTCAAAACGGCGTTACTTAGACATTCAAAAACATGCACAGGCATTTGATGATTTCTGTCAATCAAAATGATCCTTACGACAAGATCTTATAAAACTGATATTTTATATGAGTAGCGTCTGAGGACAAAATGGTATTTTATATGAGAAGAATGTGACATCTTATTGTCAGGACTATTTTAATTGACATAAAAAAAATGCTTGTGAAAACACAGTATCATATTTATTATTATGAATTAATTTTATAAGTTGTTGCCAAATCTTTTTATTTTTCAGCTTTGAATTTGGTATTATGGATGAGGGTCAGCTAGTATAGATCTGCTGGAAGAATAGTTCAATGAATGTAGAATGATTAAACTTCTAATTTAATATCTACATGTACTTTTCTAAAATTTGTTGCGAAAAAAGATGTTGCACGTAGGAGTGTAACAATGCATCGAAATATCGATAGATTCCAATAAATCCTTCCCAATATCAATGCATCGATTGTATATTAAAATTCAATATTTATTGCCGATTGTTCCGTCAGATATCGATTGTTTCAATAGTTATTAATAGCATCTTCTCGGAGCCTCAAACATGTAAATATTCCGGTCGGGGAATTCCCCGAAATGGTCCGAGTCATCACCACGTTTGTTTCGTATCGCTAGTCGCTAAACAGATTAAGGGGAGGTCAGGAACATGGCGTCTGCTATCACGATTGTCAAGAATGCACAAGGAAAAGCTGCGGTGGGGAAACACTTTGGATTTGTCAAAGAGAATGATAGTGTAGATAAGAAGAGAGTTGCATGCCGCCTTTGTGAAACTATTCTGGAATACTGTTGTAACACGACGAACCTGAACGACCATATTCGTCAGAAGCACCCGTCCCTGAATCAGGATCTTCTGCAAGTTCCGGCAGCTCAGGGGAAATTGTTAACCACTCCAAGTTCGACGGCACCAACTCTAGGCCTTGCGACAATGTTTGTGACTAAAAATTTCTCCAACATCTCCGAGAGGAAAAGCAATTACCGGGGCGATATCCCGATTTATTGTGCAGGATTTACGTCCGTTTAGCATTGTCGAACACGCTGGGTTTAAGAACTTTTTAGAGAAGCCCTAGATAGCATTGATTGACATTTGAAATTCGTGATTTAAAACATAGTTAACATACACTACGGCTTAATGTTTTCTACCCAATAATATTGCAATACTATCGCAATAAAATGTGCAATAATAATAATATTGCAATAGTTTTTCTGTGATAGCAATAATATTGCAATTGTGAAATTGGCCGCAATAGTCACCCCTAGTTGCACGCTATGACACTCTTTTTTATTTTCAAAAGAGGGTCATCTACCTCTTTCAGTATATCCGGGGTTGGCAGGTATATAATATAAGTACAGAATACTGTTGATCAACTGATGAAGTTTGTTAATAATTATTATGAACAACATGGTTTTGAGTCTGCACACTACAATCTGAAGCTTTAAACCTGGAAAGGCGAGATGTCGTACTTTTGAGTTTTATTTGTAACAAACAATGAATAAGTGACAAAATGAAATTAGAACACTATGAAGTAGACGATGTTTTGATGTTGGATTTACGCTATTGAAACCAATATCTTATTTCGAGGTATCAACTTTTCAGGGTTCGATTGTTTTATGCGACTTTGCTTTAATTTAATGAAAATTGAAATCTAAGAAAATATGGCTCAAATAGCTATACAGTACAGTATACTTGATAGGTCTTTATAGCTCAATCGGCAGAGTGTACTGGACCTGGTATGCACACATATATATACAGAAGGCTAAAACAACTTAACTTTTCCCATTTAAAGTTACCACCATAAAAATCATGTGACTGGTTGTGAACAGCCATCTACAATAGTAGCCTACATCTATCATGTCCATCATGATCTTCACGTGATGACAATGGAAGCTGAGGGGCGAAGCTGAGTCAGTCTAGTGAAACGATCACGGTCGATTCGCTGAGGCTTATTTTGGGCAATTCGTATTTACATAAACTTTTATCTTTTTAGCTTTATGTATCTGCACGAACAGTTATTTTGGCCTACGACAACCACAAAACTAAAAATGGAAGCAGACCACTCACACTGAAACACCTGTCAAACCACTCACCGCTATCACATTAACAAATGTCGTTTTCCCCGAATACTGGAGCCCTACTAGAGTAAGCTCCATCTCTTCTTTCCAGAATAGACTCTTAAACCAGTCTAGAATTCTGTGGAAAAACGCAAACATCTTTGTTGTTGGGTGTATTTCTCTGTGACTGTTTTGTCGTCTTCCTTATTTTCTGCGAGGACATACAGACAGACGGATAATCACATGATGTGATATCATCGTTCAAGATATGTAAATATTACAAATCGGATTCATTAAAAACAAACGAAACAATATACATAAAGTACTCTATATATAATGCTAACTTCACAATATAAAAATATGAGTATTCGATAAACTGCTAAAAGTTATAATTCAAGTGTTAAGTGATTTAATAAACTATATGATTTAAAATGTTTTATTTATATAATCCGTTTTACCTTCACCCAATTTGCTAAATCATGGTCATGTGTTTTCACCCATAGCAGTCGACAAACACTTTGCACATGACCATTTAACAACCAACACACTCGAAAAGATGGAGGTGACTTGGTGTGTGTTAGTTTTTGCCTTTTTGTTAGGGACAGCTAGCGGGGACACGCCTGCTAATTGCACGTATGAAGATGTGCGCGGGACATGGGTGTTTCAAATCGGCCAAACCGGCAACACCAATCAGCTAGACTGCAAACAGATGCCAGGTTTTGTTGTCAATTTTTTACATTGAGCATAGTTAACTTTTACCTGCGTTTACCTCGGCTTAGTACTGGCCATGGGTTAAAAGAGAGAGTGTGGATTATGAACAGGGGTTCGTGTTTCTAGTAAAGACTAATTGGTGAACATGTATTAGGCATTTCATCCGGCAACATATCACATTTGTTTTGGCTCATCTGTCACAAATTTTTTCAAAATAAAGAAGGATGAAATCAAGGGAATTATGAACATTAGTGAAATTGTTAAAATATGTGGACTGCGGAGCCTTGAATATTACAAATAATGAAATATGCCTTAATTTACTATTTCCTGAAGGATCAATGTGCAGTGCCACTGTCACGGGCTACATGCATTCCGCGGCAGTACATAAAAATATGCTTAGATTGTAAAGACAAAATCACCAAGTTTACGTCTTCTGACACTGAGGGTAAAAGTATATATAATAAAACATTCAGAACTTTAATGTATGACTTTACCTGTACATTGATCAGGCCTATGGTCAGGTCAGGTGCTTTAATTGTCTTGGCTTGTATGACTACGTGTGCTCAGCCTTGTTAGCTTCATGATAAGTAGTGCATAGATACATGTACGATGGAAATCATGTCATCTTTCTCGAAATTTGAATTATACTTCCAGTTTTCTTGATTATTTATAGTCACTACATGCATACAATACATTAAATAGTATATATTTAGCATTGAACTGTTTGTGTATGGCATTTATGATCTATTCAAATGACACATACATGTATACGTACATCTTTGTAAGTGCAAACAACATAATAGCGCATTATGATTTGTTTGCATGCAAATTGTATGTCATTCAAATAGATCATAAATACCAGACAAAAACAGTGCAATGCTTATATTAACATTTTTTTACTTTTACATTTGTGTAATTTCAAAATATATTTGAAATTATAATTTGCTGCCTTTAATTATCGACGTTCTGTACAAATTTGTTAAAAAACCGGAACAGCGTATTGTTGCGTGCTGAACAGCAGTGAATTGTGTCTCCTAACTGTTTCATGTAATTTAAAGTCTCATCAATGACCTTTAATAATAGGTTACCTATAATGACAACACTATGTAAATGTAAATTAATATAATGCGGTTATTGATTGTAATAAAACTTATTATTGGAAATTTATTTAATGTTTTTATTTTCAGCGGCGATATCCACATTGACAGTAGAGTTGCTCTACCCTGATGTGGCTGTCGATCAGTTTGGGAATAAAGGATTTTGGACTTTAATTTATAATCAGGTATGTTTATGATTGGCATAATGTATGATTACCAAATATATTTCATATACACATGAAATGTCGTGTATAGGGGCCGGGTGTAAAATGAAAATATAAGTTGGGCTAAATCCCGGCCTGTTGGCTTTATGATGAAGTACTCCAAAAAGTGAATTTGTATACCGCTGAATGTACCAATTAAGGTCAAATGTCAAGGTCAAAAGTAATTACAGTACCAAGTGGACACATCCCCTCAGATTAAATATACGCATGGGATTTGCACATGTTTCTCTGTATGTTTACATTTCTCGTCAGGATGCTAACTTCGAATTCAGAATCAATGAGTTGCATTAACCTCAAACATAGAGTGCATGTAGAATCGCCCAAGGAAAGATGATCAAGAACCCTGTTAATATTTTGCATGGTTCTTCAAAAGTGAAGGTCACAATTGCTAAAAACTAGATTTTCTTGTCTGCATGCATCCTAACTTCAGAAAAAATGATTGCACAAACCAAAGACCCTTCCTTTGAAAAAAAACATTCACCTATCAATAGCATTTTTAAGGGGGCACGCTGCCTCTGGTAGCTCTCTTGTTTGAAATATCTTTTATTACAGTAATACATGTACATATATGGGTATATAAGGAATACCACCAAATTAGATATCAAAGAAACTCAAAGGTCAAGATTGCAAACATCAAAGCAGGGACATTATGTGTAAATAACTTAATTTGAATATAATATGTAGTAGTAACATTTTAAATACACTAAAATATTGAATAACCTTCTGGTTAACTAATGTATATACACCAAATGAGGAAAATGATAAAATTTCATTTTTCAAGAACATGAGGCAAAAACTCAAAGATACAAGTGGTAATGACCAGAAACATATTCTAGTTGGAGACCTTAATTGTGTTCAAAATATAGAAATGGATAGGAAAAATTGTACATCACATGTTGAAATAGGGCAAAATGAACTAAAACTACTAATAACAAATCTGGCTGTTGAAGACATTTGGCGCCGTAGAAACCCAGGATTAAAATCATATACCTTCAAAAGAGGGAGGAAACAATCAAGAATAGATTATTTTCTAACAAGCAAATAAATTGATCACATGATAATAAATTCCAGTATAGAGTTATGTCCCTTTACAGAAAATGACCACTATGGCTCACCTGATGTGATTCTCAATTTAGATGAAATTGAAAAAGGAAAGGGATACTGGAAGATGAATTTTGATATAATAAAATCAGATTGTTTCAAAGAAATGTTTAAAGTTTTTTGGAACAATTGGAAAAAAAATATAGAGGACTATGAAAGTAAAATGAACTGGTGGGAACTTACAAAAATAAAAATACAGCAATTATGTGTTACATGTAGTCATATAGTTAATAAACCAAAAACATATATAAAAACAATAGAATCAAAATTAAAAGAATTGCAAAGGAAAAAGGATATGGGTTCAATATATAATGAAAGGGAACTTTTAGAACTTACATCAGAAATTCAAACTTATTATAATAATCTTGCAGAGGCTGCAAGAGTAAGGTCAAGGGTACAATGGAACGAGGAGGGTGAAAAATCTACTCGTTACTTTTTCAATTTAGAAAAATTGAGAGCACAAAATAAACAATGGTCATCAATTAAATGTGAAAATGGACAATATAGTTCGGATATAGATACCATCTTAAAAGAACAAGTAAAATTTTACCAAAAATTATTCTCATCTGAGGGTTCGGATGAACGAGAGGCAGCAAAACTTTTAATGAATATAGACACCAAATTAACAGAGATGGAAAAGAAAAACTGTGATAAAATTCCGACAGAAGAAGAAATTCAAAAAGTTATCAAAACTCTGAAAAACAATAAAGCTCCGGGTAGTGATGGCATTATCTCAGAATTCTATCAACTTTATTGGCATAGCATCAAAAAGGAGTTTACACAAGTAATTGAAGAAATATTTATTACCAAAAAACTATCATCGTCACAGTATAGGGGGATAATTAGACTCATGTACAAACAAGGGGAGAGAGAGGATATAGCCAATTGGAGACCAATCACACTACTTAATACAGACTATAAAATCATAGCTAAGACAATTGCAGAGAGAATTAAACCTATATTACCAAATGTCATTCATAGCGACCAAAGAGGCTTTATTAAAGGTAGAAATATTGAGGAATCTATACGATTGCTATCCGATATTATCGAATATACCGATATAGAAAAGAAGGGAGGGATAATAATTTTTCTAGATCAACAGAAAGCATTTGATAGAGTAGAATGGAGCTGGTTAGAGAACAGTTTAAGGAAATTTAATTTTGGAAAAACAATGATAGAGTACATTAACATGACCTACAAATATTCCAAAAGCTGTATTCTAACAAATGGCCATATGTCCAATTTCTTTAACCTATCACGCTCTGTAAAACAAGGATGCCCTTTGGCTCCAATTTTATATATAATTCAGGCAGAGGCACTTGCCTGCTCCATAAGGAAAGATAAAAATATAACAGGTATTGACCTCCCAGAAGTAAATAATATAAAAATCCAAGCAAAAATAAGCATGTTTGCAGATGATTCGCAACTGTTTCTAGGTAAAGAAAATTCATTGCCGTTTTTATTCAAGATTTTAGAAAAATATGAGAAAGCATCAGGTGCACGGGTAAATAAAAAGAAAACAAAAGGTCTGTACATAGGCAGCTGGAAGCAAAGACCCCCAAACTATACAGATATATCATGGGTCAGAGACAATATCAAGGTATTAGGAATATTTCATGGTTATAGTATAGATAAAACAAGGCTATGGGAGAGTAAAATTAAAAAAATTGAAAACAGAATCAATACATGGAAAGTGAGAAATTTGTCATTAGAAGGGAAAACTCTAATAATTAAATCCCTTCTATGCTCTCAGTTAACTTATGAATTAGCACAAAACACCATACCTGAAGAATATTTACAAAAAATAAACAAATTAATATATAAATTTCTTTGGGGTAGTAAAATAAATAAGGTGGCAAAAGAAACTGTGTATTTAGAAAAGGGGCAGGGAGGGTTAAATATGACAGATATAGAGATAATTGTTACAATGAATAGAATCAAACTAATATATAGAGTAATTCATAGTGAAATACAGACGTGGAACATACTAGGTAAACACTTTCTGCAAAGCTATGACAGAGCTTACAATACAGATTATTTCTTATGTAGATGCAGCAACACTCATAATTTGGAGTTGAAAAAAATTCCGGCAATTTATCGGGAGGGAATTTGGCATTGGCAAAAACTGCAAAAAAAAGTACCTGTAAGCAGTGCAGAAGATGTCCTTAACCAAAACCTATTTGGGAATCATAATGTATTATTTAAAAATAATCCACTTTTTTTCAAAAATTGGGCAAGGAGTGGAATAACAAAGATAAAACATATCTGGAATGTTGTACAAAATAACTTTATTTCATCAGAACAATTACTGGAAAAGTTAAAAAGTAAAAATAACTGGATATCGGAATTCTCAAAAATCAGAGGGGCCCTTCCGTCAGGGTGGAAAAACATACTACAAAATAATAATGAAAACAATATTAGTGCCTTTAAAATTTCAGATGACTTAGTTTTCACTTATAAAAACAGCATTTTAGCCATGAACAAGTGTTTTAACAAAATAATTAAATATATATTGTATCAAAATAGTAAAGAGATAAAATCCCTTCAGAAATGGAATGATCTTTTTGCATTGGACTGGAATGCCATCTGGCTCTCTATAAATAACACTATCATTGACAGGAAAATCAAGGATTTTCAGTGGAGAAGCCTACACAGAATTTTAACCACTGAATATAAACTTAAACAAATGCAGAAATCAAATGGTCTATGCAACTTCTGCAAAGAAGTACATGAAACCCAACAACATCTCTTTAGTGGGTGCAGGTTTAGTGAAACAATTTGGTTCAGGATAGAACAATTACTAAATGAAAGTCTAGCAACAAGCAATGTTCATATTAGGTTAACAGAAAAGGAAAGAATCTTTGGTGTCTCAGAATATAATGATAATATAAATAAACTATGTAATCTAATCATATTTCAGTCTAAATGGCTAATTTGGAAGGCAAGAAATCTACAGAAATTTGAAAATGAAGATCAAATTCCACTATCATTATTTAATAGGATAACAAACCAATTGAAAAATACAGCGGATAATATAATAAGTGCAAACAGACAAAATTATACATTCATTGCTTTAATTCATTCATTGAAATCACAGCTATAGCTATAATTAATATAAATACAATTATGTTGCTACTGTAATGAATAAGTACAAAAAGAATTGTGAGTCTTTATAAATTTACCTACTCTGATAATGAAAATAATGAGTGAATGAATGAGCCTGTGTGATAATTGGTTTTTGTTATTTTAATCTGATGAAAATTTATATAATATATATAAAACAATGTATACCTAATAAGAATGAAGTAGGATGATGTATAGAACAATGTATGCAGGTAATAAGATGAAAAATGATGTAGTGATATGTAAAACAATGTATGCTTTATTACAAGATGAAAAATGATGTATTGATATGTAAAACAATGTATGCTGGTTATAGGATGAAGAATGATGTAGTGATATGTAAAACAATGTATGCTGGTTATATAAGATGAAGATGAAGAATGATGCAGTGATATGTAAAACAATGTATGCTTGTTATAAGATGAAGAATGATGTAGTGATATGTAAAACAATGTATACTGGTTATAAGATGTATATAAAAATATGCAAGTTATTGAAATAAAACATTCTGAAAGAAAGAAAAAAATATTGAATAAGAATATGACAATTAATTCACAGAACCCTTGCATAAACATTTTTAGCTCACCTGGTCCAAAGGACCATGGTGAGCATATGCCATACTGCGTCATCCATCTGTCCGTCAACTTTTCCTCTAAAACGCTATTAGTCCTGAACGGCCAAGTAGATTTTGACTAAATTTGGTCTGGAGCATCCGTTGGCCAAGGGGACTCAATTTTGTATAAATGCCTAAAATGGTGGTAGAGGGGCGGGGCCCAATAGGGAAAAATAGAGGTAAAACCTTTAAAATCCTTCTCCTACCGTAGGGATTAAGGGATTTTATCCTTATTTAGTCAGGAGCATCCTTGGGCCAAGGGGACTCAAGTTTGTATAAACAGTGAGTGTGGCACCCCCTGGGAGCCGAAGGGCGGGGCCCAATAGGGGAAACATAGCAAATTCTTCAAATACCTTCTTCTTCTGTACGAATGACAGGATTTTGTCACAATTTGGTACGAAGCATCCTTGGGTGAAGGGAACCAATTTTGTATAAACAGTGTGTCTAACCCCCCTGGAGGCAGAGAGGTGGGCCCAATAAGGGAAATAGAGGTAAAACCTTTAAAATCCTTCTTCTACCAGTGGGATTAAGGGATTTTGTCCTAATTTAGTCTTGAGCATCTTTGGCCCAAGGGGACTCAATTTTGTATAAGCAGTGGGTGTGGTCTCCCAGGGGGCAGAAGGGTGGGGCCCAATAGGAGAAATAGAGGTAAAACCTTTAAAATCTTTCTTTGACCATCAGGATTAAGGGATTTTATCCTTATTTAGTCTGGAGCATCCTTTGCCCAAGGGGACTCAATTTTGTATAAACGGTGGGTATGACCCCCCTAGGGGCATGGGGTGGGACTCTGTTTGAAATTTGTACTCGCTATATCTCAAGTTCTGGATGGATCTTTCTGAAATTTCATATGTACTTACAGCACCTACCATGGATTGCTATATCTTTACTTCATACCAATTATTTTAAATATATTCAGGTGAGCAATACAGGCCCTCTGGGCCTCTTGTTACAATAGGTATTAAATTGCAGAACTATAAAATTTTAAGCATTTTTACATTGTTCTTGCAGGGATTTGAAGTTGTGATACGCAGCAGGAAATATTTTGCATTTTCGAGCTACAAACAAGACGGTAAAAATGTTACCAGTTACTGCGATCAAACGCTACCTGGCTGGTCACATGACACCTATGACAGAAGCTGGGCATGTTACACAGGGAGAAAGACGGAGGCACTGGCACCTAAACACCACACTATACTACCTCAAAAGTAAGTCAGGGGGACTCAAACAAAAACAGCACACTATACTACCTCTAAAGTAAGTCAGAGGCACTCACACCTAAACACCACACTATACCACCTCTAAAGTAAGTCAGGGGCACTCACACCTAAACACCACACTATACTACCTCTAAAGTAAGTCAGAGGCACTCACACCTAAACACCACACTATACTACCTCTAAAGTAAGTCAGAGGCACTCACACCTAAACACCACACTATACTACCTCTAAAGTAAGTCAGAGGCACTCACACCTAAACACCACACTATACTACCTCTAAAGTAAGTCAGAGGCACTCACACCTAAACACCACACTATACTACCTCTAAAGTAAGTCAGAGGCACTCACACCTAAACACCACACTATACTACCTCTAAAGTAAGTCAGAGGCACTCACACCTAAACACCACACTATACTACCTCTAAAGTAAGTCAGAGGCACTCACACCTAAACACCACACTATACTACCTCTAAAGTAAGTCAGAGGCACTCACACCTAAACACCACACTATACTACCTCTAAAGTAAGTCAGAGGCACTCACACCTAAACACCACACTATACTACCTCTAAAGTAAGTCAGAGGCACTCACACCTAAACACCACACTATACTACCTCTAAAGTAAGTCAGAGGCACTCACACCTAAACACCACACTATACTACCTCTAAAGTAAGTCAGAGGCACTCACACCTAAACACCACACTATACTACCTCTAAAGTAAGTCAGAGGCACTCACACCTAAACACCACACTATACTACCTCTAAAGTAAGTCAGAGGCACTCACACCTAAACACCACACTATACTACCTCTAAAGTAAGTCAGAGGCACTCACACCTAAACACCACACTATACTACCTCTAAAGTAAGTCAGAGGCACTCACACCTAAACACCACACTATACTACCTCTAAAGTAAGTCAGAGGCACTCACACCTAAACACCACACTATACTACCTCTAAAGTAAGTCAGAGGCACTCACACCTAAACACCACACTATACTACCTCTAAAGTAAGTCAGAGGCACTCACACCTAAACACCACACTATACTACCTCTAAAGTAAGTCAGAGGCACTCACACCTAAACACCACACTATACTACCTCTAAAGTAAGTCAGAGGCACTCACACCTAAACACCACACTATACTACCTCTAAAGTAAGTCAGAGGCACTCACACCTAAACACCACACTATACTACCTCTAAAGTAAGTCAGAGGCACTCACACCTAAACACCACACTATACTACCTCTAAAGTAAGTCAGAGGCACTCACACCTAAACACCACACTATACTACCTCTAAAGTAAGTCAGAGGCACTCACACCTAAACACCACACTATACTACCTCTAAAGTAAGTCAGAGGCACTCACACCTAAACACCACACTATACTACCTCTAAAGTAAGTCAGAGGCACTCACACCTAAACACCACACTATACTACCTCTAAAGTAAGTCAGAGGCACTCACACCTAAACACCACACTATACTACCTCTAAAGTAAGTCAGAGGCACTCACACCTAAACACCACACTATACTACCTCTAAAGTAAGTCAGAGGCACTCACACCTAAACACCACACTATACTACCTCTAAAGTAAGTCAGAGGCACTCACACCTAAACACCACACTATACTACCTCTAAAGTAAGTCAGAGGCACTCACACCTAAACACCACACTATACTACCTCTAAAGTAAGTCAGAGGCACTCACACCTAAACACCACACTATACTACCTCTAAAGTAAGTCAGAGGCACTCACACCTAAACACCACACTATACTACCTCTAAAGTAAGTCAGAGGCACTCACACCTAAACACCACACTATACTACCTCTAAAGTAAGTCAGAGGCACTCACACCTAAACACCACACTATACTACCTCTAAAGTAAGTCAGAGGCACTCACACCTAAACACCACACTATACTACCTCTAAAGTAAGTCAGAGGCACTCACACCTAAACACCACACTATACTACCTCTAAAGTAAGTCAGAGGCACTCACACCTAAACACCACACTATACTACCTCTAAAGTAAGTCAGAGGCACTCACACCTAAACACCACACTATACTACCACAAAAGTAAGTCAGAGGCTCTCAAACCTAAACACCACACTATACTACCACAAAAGTAAGTCAGAGGCTCTCAAACCTAAACCACACTATACTACCTCTAAAGTAAGTCAGAGGCACTCACACCTAAACACCACATTGTACTACCACAAAAGTAAGTCAGAGGCACTCAAACCTAAACACCACACTGTACTATCTCTAAAGTAAGTCAGAGGCACTCAAACCTAAACACCACACTATACTACCACAAAAGTAAGTCAGAGGCACTCAAACCTTAACACCACACTATACTACCACAAAAGTAAGTCGAAAGCAATAAATTTTGTTTATTTTTTCATACTATAGTAGTGGTGTTGCGATTAATCAACTTAGTCGAGCATCATTCAGTTAGGCTAACAAACTGATTAATCGAGTACAAAATCAATGATCGATTTTTGTCAAATTACGGAGTTTTCTGTAGACATTTTTCCCAGCTACTTTGTAAAATTGATGGCATCATCACTGCATGACTTACTTTTAGCTCATGGCTGCTAGTTAGGACTACATTACAGATTCAGTGTTTGAAGAGAGGTATTTCTTATATTATAATTACATGGTATCACGTTTTTATTTGCCTAAGTGACTCGCAACAACAGCATGGAGGATTCCACTATGTATTTCTATAAAACGATTATTAATCAATCATCGGTTGGTTAATGGTAACCAATGATCGATCATAAAATTTCAAACGATTCCCAACACTATACTATAGTCTATTAAATGTAAGTTGTTTATTTGACAGAGTGCATAATGACAAATACTATACCACTGACCATGAAATGTTGTATAACATCAACACTAAACAGAGCTCCTGGAAAGCTGGAATATACCCAGATTTTGAAAAAATGACAGTGGAGGAAATCCTTAAGGTTGCTGGAGGGAGGAAATCTAAAATTTATGGGTAAGTGTAGTCGAGGCAGTCTTTGTTGTTATTTTTAACGTTTTATCAATCAAAAAACATAATTATTGTTTCACCGTCACAAATTAGTGGAAGCAGGACTAAGGTGTTGCTTTTTCAGTGGCAGCATCAACATTAAGTTTTTGTGTTTAAGTTAGGTTCTCTGAAACTATAAGTGCTACACCAACCAAACTTGCACCATAGATGCATCTTAGGTAGTTCATCTCAACCCATGCATCAGATGCTGGATGCGGTCTACCTTTCATGGTCCATTGACTTTGTCTTCATCTCCATCAACATTATGTTTTTTGCATTAAAGTTAGTTTCTCTGAAACTATAAGTGCTACACCAACCAAACTTGCACCATAGATGCATCTTACGTAGTACATCTCCACCCATGCTGATGCTGGATGCGGTCTACCTTTCATGGTCCATTGACTTTGTCAGCATCTCAAATCTCCATCAACATTAAGTTTTTGTGTTTAAGTTAGTTTCTCTAAAACTATAAGTGCTACACCAACCAAACTTGCACCATAGATGCATCTTACGTAGTACATCTCCACCCATGCTGATGCTGATGCGGTCTACCTTTCATGGTCCATTGACTTTGTCTTCACCTCCATCAACATTAAGTTTTTGTGTTTAAGTTAGTTTCTCTAAAACTATAAGTGCTAGACCAACCAAACTTGACATGTGCATTGATGGTCACAGGTGAGACATATCAATCCGAATGCTTGTTGAATATGCATTTTTAGCTCATCTGGCCCAAAAGCTTTGCAATGCTTTGCCTTAGTAAGCCTTTAACTTACAGTTCTGGTTTATATAGCAGCTGGGGTATTAGTTAGCCTTTGGCTTACAGTTCTTGTTAAGTTTTATTGTATGTGTTTTTCAAGGCAACCCAGAGCTGTACGGCCCACAGAGATAGAGAGGCTGAGCAGCCTTAATCTGCCAGAGTCATTTGATTGGAGGAATCACAAGGGACAAGACTTTGTTTCCCCCATCAGGAACCAAGGTATTTCAGAGAGCAAAGTCTGCCAGTAAACAATTAAACATGCAGGGTAGCAATATGGGATATCAATAAGGTGTCACTAAGGTATCAAGCTTGTATGTATATCTAATATTTAAATAAGATAACTCTGTCTTGTCTGAGTGAATGAATTTTGAAAACATCATCAGGTATATAATGTCCTTGAAGATATATATATAAATTAAGCGAAACTGTTTATGCTATTGAAACTTTTCCTCTGTGATCTTGATTTGTCTTTAAAAGAATGCATTACTATATATACTAAGTAGAGGTACATGGAGCCAGGTTTACCTTACAGAAGCCTGCGGTAGTTGCTATGCCTTTTCCTCTATGGGGATGCATGAGGCCCGTGTGCGTGTGATTACCAACAATACCCAGCAGCCTGTCTTCTCCCCACAAGACATTGTAGACTGTAGCCAGTATTCACAAGGTATGTTCATTGATGTTGTCCTTGACCTAAAAGACATTGTGAACTGTAGAATTCATTTAGAGTGTAGATTGATTTTGACCTTGATTAATGAATATTCTTTACGATAGATTGTTCTTTAAGCATGAATACATTCAAGTTTAAAGTCTGTTACAAGAAGCCATTTGGATTGAAGTTCCTACACAACACCACCAATGAAGAAAGCTTCTACTTTAAGTTGGACTTCTAATTAAACTTTTCAGGAAAATATCCTGAATACATGGATTCACTATGTGTTCAAATTTGATTCACCTCTTTTTAACAATATATTGATAAAAACAATCTCAAATTGTGTATAAACTACCAAGTTTCTGAAGGTTTTCTTGTGATGGTAAATTTTTAAATGCAAATACAGATTAAAAGACATTATACTGAAGAATTTCTTACCTAGTTGTTGTGTTATTAAGGGTGTGAGGGTGGATTTCCCTACCTGATTGCGGGGAAGTATGCAGAAGATTATGGCATCGTCCCCGAGTCGTGCAATCCTTATAATGGCAAGGACTCCACGGTTTGCCATACCAAAGCCTCGTGTAGCCGCATGTATGCCACAGACTACACCTATGTTGGAGGATATTATGGAGCGTGAGTAGATTATTGGTCTAGTTTTTCTATTTAGATCATTTTCCTTTGTAAAAGTTTTTGTGATTGTACAATTTACTTCATTTTCATTTAACAACGATGAATTAATCAATCGAATATTCATGAGTTAGCCATGTGAAAATGTGCAGTTGCCTATAACAGGTTTTTAACTTAAATAATTTATATTGGTTAAGTCAAACAGAAATTTATCTACTTTAAAGTTCAAGTTACAATGTTTGAATGATGCATTCTTGCTATAGGTTCTATAAAAAGGTCAATGTAATTTTGCCTCAATTTATATATTACTGACATCATCAATCATTTGCAAACTGACCAAAAAATGCACAAAAATAACCTAAAATCTTTGTCACTTTTTGTGATTTCAGCTGATATGAATTTAGATGGTGAAAACACCACATATTTTTAGGATTGTCCTTTATGTCTGTTTTACTGGCTCTAATTTGCTTCATTAGTAAATCACAAGTCTGAGCCTACAGTAGAACGTAATCCTGTAGGGGCTAGCACAGGCGAGTAGTCATATTAAAGCCCAGATATAGATCATTATAATTATTTGAATATTCCTGCTGCATAAATTGAGGGAAGAAAATAACCTTTGAACCGGAACAAGAAGCTGAATGCTTCATTGATATTGAGGGAATTGATAGATAGAAGATAGACATGATAGATAGGAGTTAGGATTGATAGATAGATAGAAGCTAGAATTGATAGATAGAAGATAGAATTGATAGATAGAAGATAGAATTGATAGATAGAAGTTAGAATTGATAGATAGAAACTAGAATTGATAGATAGAAGTTAGAATTGATAGATAGAAGATTGATAGATAGAAGATAGAATTGATAGATAGAAGTTAGAATTGATAGATAGATGATAGAATTGATAGATAGATGATAGAATTGATAGATAGAAGTTAGAATTGATAGATAGAAACTAGAATTGATAGATAGAAGTTAGAATTGATAGATAGGAGTTAGAATTGATAGATAGAAGATTGAAACTAGAATTGATAGATAGAAACTAGAATTGATAGATAGAAGATAGAATTGATAGATAGGAGTTAGAATTGATAGATAGAAACTAGAATTGATAGATAGAACTAGAATCGATAGATAGAACTAGAATCGATAGATAGAAGATAGAATTGATAGATAGAAGTTAGGATTGATATATAGAGGTTAGAAATATATTTATTTTTCATTTCAACAAATTTTATTGACAAAGTTGATACAAGTCAATTGGATGGAATAACAGGCAAAGCCTATATAAATTCTCTCCAGCGGTGGCTAAATTAACGGATTCTATTATTTTTATTTGATTTAATTATACATCAATTTTGAAATGAAAATTATAAACAAACAAAAACATTTAAAGGGATGTAACTCCTTCTTAATTAACATAACTGAAATACAAATACATTCACACTTCTCACATCACACACAAAACACTTCCACAGGTATTATTTATTTTTATAACATTTTACAATGTAAATAAGCTATGTAGCTATCAAATCACACAGATATTGGCAGACCAAAAGTCCATGTGCAAATATATGCACAGGTCACAGTCGCCAAAACTGTTAAGTTATTATAGTTTTATATGGAAACAGATGGCTAGTCTATGTGTAATTCAATGTATAAGATGGAAACTGTAAAACAAGACAGATTGAACAAATCTTACAACAAACAACAACAAACAAACATGCTCAACTTAAAACTCCTATGTCCGTAGAAGAATACCATTTATAGAAAAGTAGGTAAAGTTACTTATTTGTGGAGTGAAATTGAAATATGAATAGTAAATTCATAAAAGTATAAAGTATAAGGTCATGGCTGGTTAGATCGTATAGAGATTAAAACGCCTCGATTTACCAATAAATAACTGTACATCATTAAGTAACTGTCTGTTTGTTAGTCCATCACGATCAGGACAGCCTTGTAGAAAAATGTTTGTATCTCAACAGAAGTAAATAAAGTAAGTCTGAGATCATTATACAATGGACATTCAAGAAAATAATGGAAAACTGTTTCATATTGAAAAGAGCAAGCACAAGAGGGACAGTCAGTTAAATGGTCATTGAATAAATCAAAATTTAAATTGCTACAGAAGTTTCTAAGTTGACAAAGAATAATATTGGCCCGTCTATCACCTTCAGTTTTAAAAATTAAGGTTGATTCATTATCGATAATAATATCTTCATTCAGTTTGTGTTTAAAGGTTGCAAGAGTTGGGGAGTATAGGAGATCATTATCAGTAGTGTTAGTTGTGCGGCACATTAGAGGGAGGAAACTGTCAAAATAATTGTTAGTTCTGCATGTCTGACGAAATAGGGATTATTGTTTTGATTGTTAATGAAAGGATTTAAGACATCTTGTAAGTATTGAGGTGACAGCCCATGCATTATTTTATACATCATTATGTGTTTGTGTTTATTTCTTCTTGTTGACAGAGTTTCCCAACCAAGTTCATTATAAAGTTTAATATGAGATGTTCCAGATCGAAGTCCAGTAATGATTCTGGCTGCTTCTAATTGAATAGATTCTAGAAGGGCTTTAGATTGTTGAGTGCAATTATCCCATACTATGTCTGCATATTCCAAAATTGGCCTAATAAATGCTATATAAATTTTAATCAATGATGTACGATTGACTTTAGTTTTAATATAACGAAGAATATTTATATTTATTATGTTTAAAAGCCCTGTATTTATTAATCCGAGATTATGCTGTCTTCAGTTAGAAAATAACGGTTGGTACCACTCTCGATCAAGTGATCTATTTTCATTAGACGAGACTAGATGCCACTGAGTCTGAGTTAAGGAATAAAATACGAAACTTTTGACAGTTTTGTGACTAGGTAGGGTCCCTCGACCAAGTGATCTATCAACACCTGTATTCAAATGAAAATAATTGTATTTTCATTAGACCAGACGCCAATGAGTCTTGAGTTTAGGAATAAAATTGGAAACTTTTGACAGTTTGGTGACGACCCTACAGTTTGGTGACGAGCTAGGGTCTCTCAAGTCACCCATTGTTCTAGACGCACGTGCAGTTGTCACGTACACATTAGGTATAAATATGGGACCAGTAGAACTAACAAATCACTCTTGCTAACAACACTTGGACGTACACTAGTACTAGCAGAGTCATTGCCAGCTCTCTGGCTACAAGGGCGTGTCAGTAACACCTGACAACTTTACATTCATAACATCTTGGGTAACCCTTGTTAGCCAGGGAGTGTCCAGCACATTAACAGCATCACTATTCGATCACAGGACGACGCCTTAGCCATTGAGGAACCCCTTTAACGGAATAGGGGGACAAGAGTATAAATATCTAACCTATATTACAAGTGTAACAAGTATAAATGTCTAACCTATATTATAAGTGTAACAAGTATACATGTCTGATCTATATTATAAGTGTAACAAGTATACATGTCTGATCTATATTACAAGTGTAACAAGTATAAATGTCTGACCTATATTACAAGTGTAACAAGTATACATGTCTGATCTATATTATAAGTGTAACAAGTATACATGTCTGACCTATATTACAGGTGTAACAAGTATACATGTCTAACCTATATTATAAGTGTAACAAGTATAAATGTCTGACCTATATTACGAGTGTAACAAGTATAAATGTCTGACCTATATTACAAGGGTAACAAGTATAAATGTCTGACCTATATTACAAGTGTAACAAGTATAAATGTCTGACCTATATTACAAGTGTAACAAGTATACATGTCTGATCTATATTACAAGTGTAACAAGTATAAATGTGTGACCTATATCACAGGTGTAACATGTATAAATGTCTGATCTATATCACAGGCGTAACATGTATAAATGTCTGATCTATATCACAGGCGTAACATGTATAAATGTCTGATCTATATCACAGGCGTAACATGTATAAATGTCTGATCTATATCACAGGCGTAACATGTATAAATGTCTGATCTATATCACAGGTGTAGCATGTATAAATGTCTGATCTATATCACAGGTGTAGCATGTATAAATGTCTGATCTATATCACAGGTGTAACATGTATAAATGTCTGACCTTTATTACAGGTGTAACGAGTACGCCATGATGACAGCACTGGTGAAGAACGGCCCAATGTCTGTGTCATTTATGGTATACAATGACTTCCTGCACTACAAAAGTGGAATATACCATTACACACAGCTAGAGAACCACTTTAACCCGTTTGAGATCACAAACCATGCAGTGCTGCTTGTAGGGTATGGACAGGCAGAGGACACAGGAGAGAAGTTTTGGATAGTGAAGAACAGCTGGGGCCCAGCCTGGGGGGAGCAGGGCTACTTCAGGATCAGGAGGGGCAACGATGAATGTGCCATTGAAAGTATTGCCGTAGAGTCGACTCCCATTGTTTAGCAATCTTGTTGCCACTAGTTTGGAGAAGAGTTGTCTCCCATGGTGTAGAGTCTGGTGTTCTCATATATTTTCACATAAACATAAATAATTTTTGTTTCCTACATTATAATAATGATGCCGAGCAGCCATAATCATGATGTCAAGTTTTTCAGAATAGGTTTCAATAATGAGATTAGCTAATTTCATCTGTTGCATAATGTATCACACTATTCAGACATGTAGGATATAAGCTCAAAACAAGTTAGGTAAAGGATCTTCTTCCACAAGGGATGTCATGCAAAGGTCTACACATTGTGTATATGATATTTAAATAGAACTTTTCTGGTAGGGCTGTTGTATGAATTAACACATTGTGTATAGGTGCGTGTTAAAAAGCTCTGCTTGGTCTGTCATCAAGAATTCAACACATTTTGCATAGGTATGTTGTACAGAATTGTACACAATCTGGATAGGTGTGTCAGAAAAGATAGGTGGGTAATAGAGCATCCTGTTCAAGACAGTTAAACATTCTTTCTAGGCCGAGCTGTCATACAGATTTATTGCAATGTGTATAGGTGTATGTTATTGAGAATTTGTGTGCTACAATATAGTTCTATACATAGCTTACAGGATTATATATATGTATGTATTCCCTAATTATTTATTTGTATGTACACAAGATCACGCTTTTTATCTATTTTGTATTATTTATGAATATTTTTATAGATTTTTATAACGATTCCTTTGAATGTCAGAATGCATATCAATGTGTTAACTCATTCACCCCTGAAGACACATTTGAACTCTTCCAATTCAATGGTTGGAATAGTTCATTATGAAACTTCAGGGGTGAATGAGTTAAAGGAAGACATGTGATTTGTTATAATTGAAATATGTCCACAACAGCCTCCCTAACTCACTGTTATTTTCTACTTACCGGTATGTCAGTAAGCTGTTGGGCCAGATCTCAGATAAAGAGAAATGTCCGTATTAACTCAATGGTAGCTGATCATATTGCCCTCATAATGCAGAGGTGTACAAATTGATTATTAAAAAACTGAAACACAATGGTAACAGATTATCAGACCCCTGTGCAGTATTTACTTTCAGTGGGTGTGTCTTTAAATTTTAAAACAGATTTTTGATGGTAGATTTTTGTATTGACTAAGACCAAATTATTCATCAACCTTGTATCGTGGTTAGAATGAAGAAGTGATGTAAGACTTGACATGATTAATACTTGTACCTGTGCAAAGATATTGATTTTATATAGGTTTGTTATATTTTCAAATCGCGTTTGAATAATAATATCTTCTCAATAAAAAGATATATTTCTATTACCGTATGTTTTATTCATTTATATGTTTTGATATGATACTGTCTACCAGTATGTGACATTTTACCCTCTGACCTGCCTACTGTGATGTGACATTTCACCCCCTGACCTGTCTACCGGGATATGACATTTACCCCTCTTACCTGTCTACTGGGATGTGACATTTCACCCCCTGACCTGTCTGCTGGGATGTGACATTTTACCCCCTGACCTGTCCAACGTGATGTGACATTTCACCCCCTGATCTGTCTACCGGGATGTGACATTTCACCCCCCGACCTGTCTACCGGGATGTGACATTTCACCCTCTGACCTGTCTACCGTGATGTGACATTTCACCCTCTGACCTGTCTACCGATATATGACATTTCACCCCCTGACCTGTCTACCGGGATGTGACATTTCACCCTCTGACCTGTCTACGCTGATGTGACATTTCACCCCTGACCTGTCTACCGGGATGTGACAATTCACCCTCTGACCTGTCTACCGGGATGTGACATTTAACCCTCTGACCTGTCTACCGTGATGTGACATTTCACCCGCTGACCTGTCTACCGATATATGACATTTCACCCCCCGACCTGTCTACCGGGATGTGACATTTCCCCCTCTGACCTGTCTACCGAGATGTGACATTTCACCCCCTGACCTGTCTACTGGGTTGTGACATTTCACCCCCTGACCTGTCTACTGGGATGTGACATTTCATCCCCTGACCTGTCTACTGGGATGTGACATTATACCCCCTGACCTGTCCACCGTCGTGTGACATTTCACACCCTGATCTGTCTACTGGGATGTGACATTTCACCCCCTGACCTGTCCACCATGATGTGACATTTTACCCCCTGACCTGTCTACCGGGATGTGACAATTCACCCTCTGACCTGTCTACCGGGATGTGACATTTCACCCTCTGACCTGTCTACCGGGATGTGACATTTCACCCCTGACCTGTCTACCGAGATGTGACATTTCACCCTCTGACCTGTCTACCGGGATGTGACATTTCACCCCCTGACCTGTATACTGGGATGTGACATTTCACGCTCTAACCTGTCTACCGGGATGTGACATTTCACCCCCTGACCTGTCTACCGGGATGTGACATTTCACCCTCTGACCTGTCTACCGGGATGTGACATTTCTCCCCCTGACCTGTCTACTGGGATGTGACATTTCACCCCCTGACCTGTCCACCGTGATGTGACATTTCACCCCCTGATCTGTCTACTGGGATGTGACATTTCACCCCCTGACCTGTCCACCGGGATGAGACATTTCACACCCTGATCTGTCTACTGGGAAGTGACATTTTACCCTCTGACCTGCTACTGGGATGTGACATTATACCCCCTGACTTGTTACCCGGATATGACATTTCGCTCTCTGGCTTACTGTTCAAGTGGAGATGGCAATATCACTTACATTTACAATGGGACTATTTACGATACAAGGAAATAAAGTAAATGTTTCCTGGCTTCGAGGAAGTACTTATAAATTGGCCTAGCACAACATTTCATGTTTTTTACTGGTCAACAACGACTGAAAGGCTATCAATACCGTGTATTTCCGTAGTTATTGAGTACTGCAGTACGAAAGCCTAAAAAGTTGTTATAAAAACGACTTTCATTTTCACATCATAAAACCTTTGATTTTCAGAAGGCGTTTTAACGCGATTTTTCATATTTTCATTTTCTTTTCAAAAGTTGACCTTTCTAGACTTTCTAAATATGCAGATAGCCAACGTTGATCCTGACCATTTCATAATGCATCAAAACTTCCAAGAGGGGGTCAGCAGGCCTCCGTTACTTAACTCACAAGAAAGGAATTCACGACTAGAAAATGGTTACCTGATAGTGAGGTTTCTGCGTGTACATGATTACATGACTTGTGTGTGTTGTATTTCTTATTGATAAATGAATCGTACCGTTATAGACCTCGAAACGGGAGTGTCGGATTTCATTTCGCACCTATAGTCAATTTCCTAACTTTGAAACGTAAAAAAAAAATATTCGTCAACGATACCATGTTTCAATCTGATTAAAATTATACTTTTCATTTCGATCAAATACCAATGCACTCCCAACACTTGTATATTGGAGTGCATCGGTAGTGGATTGAAATCCCGTGTCTAATTTGGATTAGATTGACAAAATTTTAAATCGCTAAATGTGAGCTTTTAAATATAGTGAACCCTACTGTACACAAAGAGGGATTAGGTAGTACATGTCAGATAATGACCGCGATACCGTAAATAGTGGGGCCCTAGCTGTAATCCAAACATTTGTCCCACTAACACACAACTCCAGTTACACCCGTTCATTTGTACAAGTGATTATATTTAATAATACATAATCGTATTATATTTTATTAATGTTCACACTTAACCGATAAGTCGGGCACATATTTTTGTCTGTAGAGGCGAAGGCAAACTAATTTTATGTTCACGTGAACTGCAATGCTATTAGCGAATTGGAATAATAATGGTGAATAACGCAACTTAATTAGGATGGAACAAATGTTCCGTTTATGTATTACAGACAATAGCTTGAACGTTTGTTATGCTAATCAAAACACGAACGTGAACTCTGTTTTTAACGTGATAAAAAGAGTTGATATATAATAAAAATTGTTGTTAACAATTTACAATAATAATTTTACAAGTATTTGAAATATTTACTTCTAATTATTTTTATTTTAGCAAAACTGTACCATTGGCACGCATTTTACCAACTTCTATCAAGTCGTTACTTTGTTATACTTTCGTGTTTTATACAACTGACCACACGATAGCCATATTTCTATATACCAATTATAAGTACCACGAAAAGGGTGGACGCTCTAAACAGAAAAACATGAAATAGGAATAGCATCCTTCATTCATTATTCACTATATATGTCTTGAAAAGAAAAGAAAATATAAACGTTTGTACATCTATATAGACTCGGTATGCCTTCGAAAAGTCTAAATGCATTTTTTTTTTCAAATTTGAAACAAACCAGAGAGATAGAGAAATACGCGCTTATTGCAGATGTATCTATCGTAAAACATACCAAAAGTTCATAGAACTTCCCCCCTCAAAAAAACACCTATTTGGTAATCGTTTTTCGATGATACAAGGACCTATATTTAGTCGTTTTAAGTAGTGAAATCTTAACCAAATCTACCTGTGAGTGTATTGTTATTTCACAAATGCGAGACACCCAGAACCACCGAATTAGTACGGTATTACCTAGGCCTTGACACCGCGCCTCTGGCCACTACCGTTCGAACTTATCCGTAAAACACTATAGGTAACAAGTACATGTGTGATATCATGGAAACCTATTCTTCGTGAAGATGTGGAAAAATCCCCCCCAGAATCCGCGGGCCTTACCAAGTATATCCGGATATCATTTCCAAGGATATATTGGCGACATCAGGAGTCTTGCAAGGAGAACTTTGCCAAGAAACCCGCCAAACAATTTATTGAGTTTCTTCGACGGCTCTGTGGCCTCTGTGTCTTGCTCTGAACTGGCCTTGTCTCCTGTAAACCTGATCAAGGATTCTAGATATCCTCGAACAATTCCCGGGGGATTTAAACAGGATGATAATGGACACGAACTGGAAGTTCTTCGTGGCGGATCTGAACGATCGACTTTCCAATATTTCCCACTCTCGGCACGACTTGCTTTGCATAATGTCGCAAACACTCCCAGCGCTGACAAACCCGAGCGAAGGTGCACCAAGACGAAGGTTGTGTTAGGAGTTTCCTTATACTTAGCTTTAATTGTGCTTGTGCTCATCATCACAGTTGCCGTTCTCGCATCGTCGCTGTCGGCCTCCACCGGGGTAAGTATCCGTATACGGAATGGTGAAGAGGGCTTGTCTCTCGTTTTAGGCTGATATTCCTAGCTTCATTGGATATTTCCAAATTCGTTTAACATTATCTTAATCAAACAATTTACGGATCCCCGCACCACTGCCAACTAGCTACGCATTAGTTTTTCCGGCATGGTTATAGCTTTGATATATTAATTTATGAAACGAAAACCTAACCTAGATTGACTTTTATGATAAGTGAAATATCTGATGATAAAAAAGTTGAGCGGCGCTAGACTGGGATTCGAACCCAGGACCTCAAATTATTATACTGTCGCCCTAACCGACTGAGCTACCAGGTCTATGGAAGTGTCCTGGCCCAACTTTGCTGAAGTCATATGTGAAACAAAATAAGGGGAGATAACTGTATACACAAAAAATCCAGAGTGCAGTGGGACAAGGACCCTTAAATGTTATCACTATGCTATAAAACATGTGAAGTAATGTTTTGATTTGAATAGCTTTGTCTTCATTCTATTGCTCAGATGATATTTTTCTATTTTTCCAAGCCAGCCTCAACGGTAAGTGCAATATCCGACAGTTCAGCTGATTCCGGTGATTATACGCCATCTACCTCATCCATTCTCGGACTTCCCAGCCCACCCAACACTGCCTCTCCCCCGTTAGTAACTACCACTCACGCGCCAAATCCACCAAATACACCTTCTTCATTTAAAAAACATGAAACAACAGCGAGAATGACAGTGATCACCGAACAAATGACAGTTGTATCAACATCGACGCCAAGCTTGTTATATACAACAATGGCGACAAAAACGTTGACAACACTAAATCCAACGTCAACCAAACTGCCAATGACGAAAAACCGGACAACGACGACTAAACCAACCACATTTACAAAACCACTGACGTCTACGAACCAAACCACAACTACAAAACCAACAACAATCAAACCAACAATAACTACAAAATCAGCAACAACAACAACAACAAAACCAACAACAACAAAACCAACAACAACTACAAAACCAACAACAACAACAAAACCAGCAACTACAACAAAACATTCAACAACTACAAAACCAACAACAACTACAAAACCAACAACAACTACAAAACCAACAACTAGAAAAAAACATTCAACAACTACAAAACCAACAACAACAAAACCAACAACAACAAAACCTACAACAACTACAAAACCAACAACAACAACAAAACATTCAACAACTACAAAACCAACAACAACAAAACCAACAACTACAAAACCAACAACAACAACAAAACATTCAAAAACTACAAAACCAACAACTACAAAAAAACATTCAACAACTACAAAACCAACAACAACAAAACCAACAACTACAAAACCAACAACAACAACAAAACATTCAAAAACTACAAAACCATCAACTACAAAAAAACATTCAACAACTACAAAACCAACAACAACTACAAAACCAACAACAACAAAACCAACAACTACAAAACCAACAACAACAAAACCAACAACTACATATCCAACAACAACAACAAAATCAACAACAGCAACTACACCAATCACAACTACCAAACCAGCAACGACGATAGAATCGGCGACAACCACGGTACTACCCATATGTGAGACCAACCAGTGCTTTTCTGTCGGGTATGAAATGTGGTCAATGATTGACAGTAATGCCGACCCTTGTGAAGACTTCTACACCTTTGCCTGCGGCCAATGGATTCGTTCCCGCGAGGACATGATAAACGAGGGTAATGTGGACCAAACCGATACAGCTTATTCGAACCCTGTGGAACAGTTTAGTCTGTACCCAAAACTTCAAAGTGAGTGATTTCTTTTCGTTTAGTATTCCACGTTTTTGGTTTGCACATAAAAGGTAACCTATATCTAACGGTGTGTTTTTGTTTTTAAGCTCATGTAGTCAATGGAATTTCTGACAAATGGGAATAAAAACTTGGCACACTTTTACCATAAAACAGATACAGTGTATACTGAAATCCATTGAGGTTAGTCAATTATAACTCCTAGTTGCCAATTTTGACCTTTCGTAACCATTTTTCTGCTGCAACACTTCACCCATGTAAGCAAACACCGTCTTAACAGGAAGGACTTATTTCTCTACTAAATTAGGCAAGCAAACATGGCATTTTTCGCTAGCTACCAATGATTTCTTAACAATCGCTGTATCAAGGTTAAAGTTCAATATATGCTTAGTAGTAAGACTCCTAAAAATAATCATTGTTGCTAAAACAGGCGTTACGTGCAAATGGTCACTCTTACAAATGTTTGCCTCAACCCTAACAATTGAAGGAGTCAATCAGACCATGCACACATTTCTGCGTATCGTTACCAGGATTTGAAGCTTCGGCGATGCCACGTCCTACAATGATTGTGGCATGAACACGGTATCATTTCTGACTCAACTTCCGGGGACTATTCACATTGATATTAGTATGGGCTGTAACCCTGAATAACTATTTTTCCAGTCGAAAGCGCAGGGCGATTGGTTGCGACATAACTTTTTTTTTCTCAAAACCATGGCTTCATAGTGTTAACGAATCAAATGTACGCCAACGTATCACTAGGTTGCGACGTTGAATCTGATCCTATTTTTTAAACTAAGACAGCAGTATTCGCTGCTTCATCTTCAGTGTATGTTTCTGCATGCTATATTATATCAAGGGAAATTTACGCCCTGTCAAACTTTCGCCCTTCGCCGATAAAATTCAGAGTCGTCCAGCCTTCGTTTCGCCCTTCACATTTAGTAACCTTATATTTGCTATAATGATCAAAACGCCCTCATTATGGAGGACTTAAAAGGCGAAAGATAACGGTATTTTCATCACAAAGTCGTTTTCTAAAAAGTTCTCCTCATGACGTCATTTCGGTGTGACTTTGGATGTAGTGTTACGCGCTGTGAAGCTGTTGAGAACCACATGAATGGGTATATCCTGCTTTTTTTTATTACGGAATCTTGTAACAAATTGTAGGTAAATAGAGGAAGTTGTAGTGTGCTCTTCAAAGATCACCAATGATTTCAATCGACCCTGATGTTTTAATTTGTATACATGTACGTGTTTCTTATGTACATCCACCAGGTCGTAAGCTTATTATACATAGGGACGATAAGTGTGAGTATACTAATAAAATCTTGACATCTTGATCGCAGGGCTGCTCGAAGACCCCATGGACCCCTCCATAGACAGCGTCTTTGCGAAGGCAACTAGACAACTCCACAGAGCGTGTCTATCGTCAACTAAGGATGCCAGCGACACAGGTAAACAACGACATAGGTAAACAACGACATAGGTAAAAATCAATATAGATAAACATCGGCATAGGTAAACATCGTCATAGGTAAACATCGGCATAGGTCATAGGTAAACATCAGCATAGATATACACCGACATAGGTAAACAACGACATAGGTAAAATACGACATAGGTAAACATCGACATAGGTAAACATCGACGAAGGTAAATATCGACAAAGGTAAACATCGACAGAGGGAAACATCGACATACATGTGGGTAAACAGGGACATTGGTAATCATCGGCATAGGTAAACATCGTCATAGGTTAACATCGACAAAGGTGAACAACGACATAGGTAAATATCGACACAGGTAAGCATGGGCATACTCGAAACAGGTAAATATTAACATACATGTAGGTAAACATCGACATAGGTAAACAACGACATAGGTAAACATCGACAAAGGTGAACAACGAAATAGGTAAACATGAACATACATGTAGGTAAACATCGACATAAGTAAAATACGAAAAAGGTAAACATCGCCGTAGAAAAACATCAACAAAGGTAAACATTGACAAAGGTAAACATCGACATAGGTAAATATCGACAAAGGTAAACATCGACAGAGGGAAACAACGACAGAGGGAAACATCGACATACATGTGGTTAAACAGGGACATCGGTAATCATCGGCATAGGTAAACATCGTCATAGGTTAACATCGACAAAGGCGAACAACGACATAGGTAAATATTGACAAAGGTAAACATTGACAAAGGTAAATATTGACAAAGGTAAACATTGACAAAGGTAAACATTGACAAAGGTAAACATCGACATAGGTATATATCGACAAAGGTAAACATCGACAGAGGGAAACATCGACAGAGGGAAACATCGACATAGGTAAATATCGACATGTAAACAACGACATGTACAGGGCGTTATAGATAAACAGAAACATCCTTGTGCACGGGTTCCGAAATAAGTAATACAGCTTTGAAAGACTTCACACAGGGTTTACTTATGACCAGCTTTCGTGATTGTGATTTTCCATTTACATTTAATCTTAAGTATCATATATTAACTACACTAGCACACTGTCATAATGTAATACTTAAAAACTTAACACAGACACACCCAGTACTGTGACTTAACACAGACACACCCAGTACTGTGCCTTAACACAGACACACCCAGTACTGTGCCTTAGCACAGACACACCCAGTACTGTGCCTTAACACAGACACACCCATTACTGTGACTTAACACAGACACACCCAGTACTGTGCCTTAACACAGACACACCCAGTACTGTGCCTTACCACAGACACACCCAGTACTGTGCCTAAACACAGACACACCCAGTACTGTGACTTAACACACACACGCCCAGTACTGTGCCTTAACACAGAAACACCCATTACTGTGACTTAACACAGACACAACCAGTACTGTGACTTAACACAGACACTCCCAGTACTGTGCCTTAACACAGACACGCCCAGTACTGTGCCTTAACACAGACACACCCATTACTGTGCCTTAACACAGACACACTTTGGAGAAATGTCATGTGTTATTCTATCAACGAAAAAAACCCAAAAACTGTTAACTTATAGCCCTCGGGAAATATGATGCTTCAGTTCAGAAAGCAAACAATTAATCGTATTACCAGTACTTCGCCCTTGATATTTAACTACAAACACCAAATTAGTCTGGTCCGATCAATTAATTAGCAATTAATTAGGTCTCGGATGTGTGTTAACCTATGACGCTATACAAACATATATATGTTATTCTAGTTCAAGTTCTTTATTCACCAAAAGTCTTAAGACTTATAGGTACAAAGCAATCATGATACATTGTACATGTATATATGTTATAGGAGAGTGACTATAAGCATACAAGTGCAAACTAAACAAAGAACATAATACAAAAGCACAAAAATTATAAATACGAGTAGCTAATTAATCAATTTCGCCGCTTAGTGGCTAGATATAAATATTTACCTAGATTTGACAACTCTTTGACATTATTTACAGATAAAAGTTGGACAAGTTTGTAAACAGAGGGACTCTTATAATAATACTTCTTTATATACTTTAACCTCAAACCATTATAAAAAGGACATACAAAAATGAAATGAAATTCGTCCTCGACGTCTCCCAAATCACATTTGCTACAGTTTCTATTTCTGCGAATGATATTATTGTGTCTACCCTTTTCGATATTCAGTTGATGAGACGACGTTCTAAATTTATTTAACATATATTTGTATTTTGTTTCAATATGTTTACGGAGATAAAACTGAATACTATGACTGTCTATAAGATATTGATATAGTCTACCTTTTGATGAAGCTGCTATCTTTGCCAACATATTTTGCTTAGTAACATCTTTCAATCTGTGTTCAATAATTTCAAAAGTGTTTACCAATGGTAGATTCAATTCAAAAATATAACCAAGACCTAGGGCAGTTAATTCATTCTTAATGTTACAAATCCACGGATCATTCACGTTGACACATTCATCATAACAAGTTTTTAATATCAAATTATCAGATTTCGTCAACTTCAACCAATATTTGAATACTTTTAGCTTTCTCCGTCCATGCCATTTACGCTCAAACCAAGATATTGTTTCAAAAAGGTGATGATCATAAAAATATCTTTTTAAATTATTACCTTCAGCGCTGACTGAGCTTCACTCGATCCTCGATCCCTTGGGACTGGACGAATCCTTACAGTCTCCCATAAGTCTGGAGAATCTTCAGAGATCTGCTGTGACGTCATTTGATGTTGGTGCGCTGTTTGATACCTCTCTTAAACAAACAGTTATTGACGGAGTCAATATGTACATTCTACAGGTATATCACGTAGTAATTTTACATGTATCTAATGTATTTTATTGTACAGGTACACCACTAGGTATATTATGTACAGGTACTTCAGTAGGTATATTATGTACAGGTACTTTAGTAGGTATATGATGTACAGGTACTTCAGTAGGTATATATATTATGTACAGGTACTTCAGTAGGTATATTATGTATAGGTACTTCAGTAGGTATATTATGTACAGGTACTTCAGTAGGTATATTATGTACGGGTACTTCAGTAGGTATATTATGTACAGATACTTCAGTAGGTATATTATGTACAGGTACTTCAGTAGGTAAATTATGTACAGGTACTTCAGTAGGTATATTATGTACAGGTACTTCAATAGGTATATTATGTACAGGTACTTCAGTAGGTATATTATGCACATCAACGTCACATGGAACATTGTTCATGTATAACATGTACACGTACAATTGTACGTCACGTGACACAACGTGTAGTAACGTCAACTTATGAAACCTAAGAATAACAAAATCTATTACCCAGTGTTCATTAGACCTAGCGCTACAGCCAACTTATATCTACTAGTACAGTGCTATACCGATTTAGCTTAAGTTGGCCTAAATATCTGCATGTTATTTTAAAAAAATTGACGAAGGAGGGGCAATCACCGTGTACTCCTTTTGTATTGGTGTGTTCCTGATTTTTAGGTCACACCAAACTCACTTGATTTGCTCAAGTGACCGATTCCAATCACTTTCCGTCCGTCGTCGTCCGTCGTGCGTCGTGCATAAACTTTTTACATTTTCAACTTCTTCTCAAGAACCAGTGGATGGACCTTTTTCAAACTTGGTCAGAATCATCCTTGGTAGATGAGGCTACCAATTGTAAAATTGGGATTCCTACCCCAACCCTAGGGGCCAGGGCGGGGAAGGGAAAATTAACCAATATTTCAAAAATCTTCTTCTCCAGACTCAGAGGTATTACAGTCATTTTCTCTGCATTGATGGAAAGATCATCATGGGCTTTATTTAAATTGTAAATTTCAGGACCCCCGAGCTATCCGTTCTCCCTTGGGGAGGGGTAAAGTTTACTATAGTTTATATAGTGAAACAACACTTTTGGGTATATTTTGACAATTTTCTGTTGGAAATTATTTTTACTTGGTGAGAATTATCCTTGGAGGAGGAAGATGGTTTTAAATTGTAAAATTGGGATTCCTCCCCCAACCCTAGGGGCCAGGGCGGGGCCCAAAAGGGGAAATTAGCCAATATATCAAAAATCTTCTTCTCCAGACTATATTTTGACAATTTTCTGTCGGAAATTATTTTCACTTGGTCAGAATCACCTTTGGTGGATGACGGTATCACATTGTAAACTTGGAATTCCTGCCCCATCCCCAGGGGTTAGAGCGGGGCCCCAAAGGGAACATTTACACATATTTTAAAATTCTTATCCTTTGATGACATGACACGTATTGTATTTCACTTAGTTTACATGCTGATTTCCACATCACATCTAAGCAATAAAATAAAGCTACCAGTACCTATGATATAACTCAGGTGACCGCTAAGGCCATTGGGCCTCTTGTTAATATATTTTTGTTTCGATTTTAAGTTCTGTTTTATACTTGTGAGATTATTTATATACAGGTATATGTATGAAGAATGTAATTCACTTCTGGTTTTTTTTCAGTTGGAGCCGCCATCTCTGTACTTCACGTTAGACCAATATCAGACGCCGACATCACAAAACAAGGTAACGTTACAAATATCTTCTTGGTGTAAATATCACATGTAAAACAGACATCACCAAACAACTAATGTTACAAACATCTTCTTGGTGTAAATATCTGGTGTAAAACAGACATCACCAAACAGGTAATATTACACTCATCTTCTTGGTGTAAATATCTCTTGTGAAACAGACATCACCAAACAGGTAATATTACACACATCTTCTTGGTGTAAATATCTGGTGTAAAACAGACATCACCAAACAGGTAATATTACACACATCTTCTTGGTGTAAATATCTCGTGTGAAACAGACATCACCAAACAGGTAATGTTACAAACATCTTCTTGGTGTAAATATCTCGTGTAAAACAGACATCACCAAACAGGTAACGTTACAAACATCTTCTTGGTGTAAATATCTCGTGTGAAACAGACATCACCAAACAGGTAATGTTACAAACATCTTCTTGGTGTAAATATCTCGTGTGAAACAGACATCACCAAACAGGTAACGTTACAAACATCTTCTTGGTGTAAATATCTCGTGTGAAACAGACATCACCAAACAGGTAATGTTACAAACATCTTCTTGGTGTAAATATCTCGTGTGAAACAGACATCACCAAACAGGTAATGTTACAAACATCTTCTTGGTGTAAATATCTCGTGTGAAACAGACATCACCAAACAGGTAATGTTACAAACATCTTCTTGGTGTAAATATCTCGTGTGAAACAGACATCACCAAACAGGTAATGTTACAAACATCTTCTTGGTGTAAATATCTCGTGTGAAACAGACATCACCAAACAGGTAATGTTACAAACATCTTCTTGGTGTAAATATCTCGTGTGAAACAGACATCACCAAACAGGTAATGTTACAAACATCTTCTTGGTGTAAATATCTCGTGTGAAACAGACATCACCAAACAGGTAATGTTACAAACATCTTCTTGGTGTAAATATCTCGTGTGAAACAGACATCACCAAACAGGTAATGTTACAAACATCTTCTTGGTGTAAATATCTCGTGTGAAACAGACATCACCAAACAGGTAATGTTACAAACATCTTCTTGGTGTAAATATCTCGTGTGAAACAGACATCACCAAACAGGTAATGTTACAAACATCTTCTTGGTGTAAATATCTCGTGTGAAACAGACATCACCAAACAGGTAATGTTACAAACATCTTCTTGGTGTAAATATCTCGTGTGAAACAGACATCACCAAACAGGTAATGTTACAAACATCTTCTTGGTGTAAATATCTCGTGTGAAACAGACATCACCAAACAGGTAATGTTACAAACATCTTCTTGGTGTAAATATCTCGTGTGAAACAGACATCACCAAACAGGTAATGTTACAAACATCTTCTTGGTGTAAATATCTCGTGTGAAACAGACATCACCAAACAGGTAATGTTACAAACATCTTCTTGGTGTAAATATCTCGTGTGAAACAGACATCACCAAACAGGTAATGTTACAAACATCTTCTTGGTGTAAATATCTCGTGTGAAACAGACATCACCAAACAGGTAATGTTACAAACATCTTCTTGGTGTAAATATCTCGTGTGAAACAGACATCACCAAACAGGTAATGTTACAAACATCTTCTTGGTGTAAATATCTCGTGTGAAACAGACATCACCAAACAGGTAATGTTACAAACATCTTCTTGGTGTAAATATCTCGTGTGAAACAGACATCACCAAACAGGTAATGTTACAAACATCTTCTTGGTGTAAATATCTCGTGTGAAACAGACATCACCAAACAGGTAATGTTACAAACATCTTCTTGGTGTAAATATCTCGTGTGAAACAGACATCACCAAACAGGTAATGTTACAAACATCTTCTTGGTGTAAATATCTCGTGTGAAACAGACATCACCAAACAGGTAATGTTACAAACATCTTCTTGGTGTAAATATCTCGTGTGAAACAGACATCACCAAACAGGTAATGTTACAAACATCTTCTTGGTGTAAATATCTCGTGTGAAACAGACATCACCAAACAGGTAATGTTACAAACATCTTCTTGGTGTAAATATCTCGTGTGAAACAGACATCACCAAACAGGTAATGTTACAAACATCTTCTTGGTGTAAATATCTCGTGTGAAACAGACATCACCAAACAGGTAATGTTACAAACATCTTCTTGGTGTAAATATCTCGTGTGAAACAGACATCACCAAACAGGTAATGTTACAAACATCTTCTTGGTGTAAATATCTCGTGTGAAACAGACATCACCAAACAGGTAATGTTACAAACATCTTCTTGGTGTAAATATCTCGTGTGAAACAGACATCACCAAACAGGTAATGTTACAAACATCTTCTTGGTGTAAATATCTCGTGTGAAACAGACATCACCAAACAGGTAATGTTACAAACATCTTCATGGTGTAAATATCTCGTGTGAAACAGACATCACCAAACAGGTAATTATCTCGTGTGAAACAGACATCACAAAAAAGGTAATATTAAACACAACTAATAGGTGTAAACGTCACGCGTACCTTACTTGACGTCACAAACGGTTAATAGTTTGTGCAAGTCTGCATCAGAAAAGAATACAAAGGTTTCAAAAGCGATTGTCTGCAGAACTATTATACTACTTATTGGATTTTCATTTTCACAGTTCCTACATGATTGTATTGTACGATTTTTCTGTGTCAGGTCCTACCGAACTTTATTATAAGACTATTTTTTCTATCCCAGGTCCTACAGAACTTTATTATAAGACTTTTTTTTTCTATCCCAGGTCCTACAGAACTTTATTATAAGACTATTTTTTTTCTATCCCACGTCCTACAGAACTTTATTATTAGACTATTTTTTGCTATCCCAGGTCCTACAGAACTTTATTATTAGACTATTTTTTTTCTATCCCAGGTCCTACAGAACTTTAGTATTAGACTATTTTTTTCTATCCCAGGGCTTACAGAACTTTTATATTAGACTTTTTTTTTCTATCCCAGGTCCTACAGAATTACATCATACGTGTAGCCCAGGCTCTCAATGTCTACTTCAGCCAAGTGCCAGATTATAACGACTACGAAAATGACCTAGATTTCAAGAAACGAAGGAAACGATCAGACGGGCTCTCTGATGATATGATGAAAGATTTGGAGTACGACGACTATGCTGATGATTCGGTAGTACGGAAGGGCAGACGTCTTCTCCAGAACGACGGTGAGGCTACATACATGGCTCTGCATGGATTGATCTTGTTACATCATGCCGGCAAAAATGCTGTTGTCTTTTTGATGTACGCGTAAAAGACATTCGGTTGTTGTCGGAAATACAAGTCGCAGACGTTCGGTCTTTGTCGGAAATACAAGTCGCAGACGTTCGGTCGTTGTCGGAAATACAAGTCGCAGACGTTCGGTCGTTGTTGGAAATAAACGTCATAGGCATACGGTTGTAGTCGGAAATAAACGTCATAGGCATGCGGTTGTAGTCGGAAACACACGTAACAGATATTCGTTTGTTGTCGGATAATTATGTAGATATTTCTATGTTTTTTACACTTATCAACAGTTCAGCTTCCTGAAATTGTCTGTGATAAAAATGAATAATTAGCTAGTTTGTTTGTATTTCCCAATCATTGATTAAGTGTGAGTAGGAATGCCGACACGGGTAGAGCCACATAACAGATACCAGGAATGACAGACCTAAGTTATCAAGATAGACTAAGGATTTTAAAATTACCAACTTTAAAACATAGAAGATTACGAGGAGATATGATACAGGTTTATAAACTAATACATGGATAATATGACACTTCTGTAACAGAAAGCTTTTTTGAACAAACCAACGAAAAAAACGAACAAGAGGTCATAGTTTTCGACTTGAAAAAGGAATGTATAAATTGAACGTAAGAAAGTATTCCTTTAAAGAAAGAGCGGTCAACCATTGGAATTCCCTGCCAAATCACGTCGTCACATCACCAACAATAAAAACGTTTGAAGCCCGGCTGGATAAGCACTGGGGACAACCAGAATGTTTTTACTTATCCACTGTAGGGGCGTCAGCCATACATATAGGCTTTTGTCTACGTCCAGTATTATTATATCATTATAAATCTCCTACTTGTAAAACTTGTTCTAAACTGTGTTCCCTACCTTTTTCGTTTTACAGGAGACACTCTGTATGATAGAATAAGGGCACTGCTCACGACGACTGTGGAAATCGAGAGGAAACTTGCGGATGTAAGTATCACCGTATTCCAGCCTGAAATAAGTATTTGCATGGCAGTATGCTGTGGTTATCAATAAATGTGCCAAAAAGACGTTATAAAAGTCTACGATAGGTTTCTCGTTGTTTCAGTTCTACTTATATGGCAATTAATCAACGTAATAATGTAGTTTCATTTTCACGGCAATAGTGTAACGTTACTATGCTTACGTATATTAAGTACATGTAGTAAAGATTGTGAATTCTGGCGATATCTATAAACGTAAACCTTTCACAAATAACTTATGTTCTTATGGAAATTAAAATATCGTTTATGACAAATGACAACAACATATTAACAACACAGCTAGTTTTGTGTGTATTACAGCTCCTTTTAAAAGTAAAACAATATCTACTGATTAGCTTTTTTGAGCCATTACGTAATTGAAAGAGGAGAATATGAGAAATAAAACATACAAAGAAAAATATAATTCCGTCGGCTAGTTTTTTGTTTTTTGTTCGACAAGATTAGTCAAACGTGTTTACGTAATATGTGACTTTTTATGAAATGTATCATCTTGTCCCTTATTTCTAATTTAAAAAGTCCTCACTTTTCCACTAGTATCTGCTGATTTAACGATTGATATAAACAGTTGTGACCACAATCTTTTCGTTATCTTCACTGGATTGAAGGGGAACGCGTTTGACTCCTTACAACATTGAAAACATTTGGGGGCCACTGTGCTTCTTTTTTTGCCGTATTGTTTTTATTTCATAAATTTGAATATTCCAACATACATGTATGTAGAATACACCGTAAATGGAAACCTTTTATAACATTAGTGTACAACGTTTGGCTACCACTAATATTTATACTTCTAGTATGTCTTACACACCGTACCAGAATGTCTTACACACCGTACCAGAATATTTATACTTAGTCTAGTACATGTATGTCTTACCACCGTACCAGAATGTCTTACGCACCGTACCAGAATGTCTTACACAACGTACCAGAATGTCTTACGCACCGTACCAGAATGTCTTACACACCGTACCAGAGTATTTATACTTAGTCTAGTACATGTATGTCTTACCACCGTACCAGAATGTCTTACACACCGTACCAGAATATTTATACTTAGTCTAGTACATGTATGTCTTACACACCGTACCAGAATGTCCTACACACCGTACCAGAATGTCTTACACACCGTACCAGAGTATTTATACTTAGTCTAGTACATGTATGTCTTACACACCGTACCAGAATACATTCAAGCTTCAATGTTATGGCCATCCTTGGGAATTGATAGTCCACCGACCGGGTCAAACACGTGGTTTCATACAGAAATATTTCAATTTCTACTCAATGCAACTACCAACTGTTACCAGCAATACCTCACTTTTGACTTTAATATTGAGCGTTCGCCCCGGCGAGGAAGGCGATGGGTTCCTTCCATAGGCCTGGACATATCAAAGTCCTTTACACTTGTAGATGTTATTCCCTGCTTATCGTTCAAGGGTAAAGGCAAATGGTAAATGGTTCACCTATTGTTAGTATAATGTGACCGGGCGGAATGCTGTCCTGGGTGTCTTCGGCACGGTATCTCAGTGAGATAGCACTATAAAGTCGGCATCAGATCCGCGCTATCACAAGGAGGCAAGTACACTAACATACCCTGTACCAGCACACACACACACACGTAAGCACGCATACGCAACATACACGGAGACACGTCCTTAAATGACCTCAGCTGTTAATAGGACGTTAAACAAAATAAAACCAAACCAATTATTACCTTTTTCATTTGCCGATGAAATTGCCCAGATTAGCATTGCCTGTGCGTATGAAGACATATTTTCAGATTTTGTGAAGGGAGATAACTATTGACATTTTTTAATAAAGCGGATACTATTTGTATGAGATTTTTCATTTTTTATTGAAGGAACACAAGAAATTGTTCAAGCAATGTGTCAGTGTCAACCCCAGTACAAATCGAAAACAACGTGGATCACACGTCTATGTGATCCAGTCATATATGAAATGCAGTCGAACTGCCATATCAAACTTTTTCGTCCTTTCAAACCACGTCTGGTTTCCTGTCTATTTCGACATTCAATATAACTGCAGATTCACATTCCAGAGATGTAGAGCCTCGACATTTAGCGCCTTTCCACTTCGAGCTCGTGAAAAAATAACCACAGACTCGCAGCTGAGAATACCCACAACGTCTAAACATAATTCTTCAGCGTTGACGCGTCAGAAAATTTAATATCTAAACGTATGAACTCTTTAACAAAACTGAATATGACATTTAAAATATGTTTTTGTGTCTTGTTTCTTCATATTTTGGCTGTATTGAAATTTCTTGTTGTACGATGGTCATTTAATATCTATTTAACTGAGGGATACCCTGTATTCTTATCTCCGATATATCATACATTTTAATTATTTTTATTAATTACAGGCAATACGCCAGGAGCCTGGGAACTCCCCGTCCATACTTCTATCCATTGAGACACTTTCGACACAGTTGCCGAACATACAGTGGAGTCGAGCCACTGGTCTCACGTCGTCCAGTCAGATCCTCGTCAAACAGTATGGCTACTTCCAAATCATTGACGGCATTGTACGGGACACAGATCAGGACGTCATAAAATTCTTCATATGGACACAGGTTATATTTTGTCATAGGTTATTCATATTTGATTTTTTATGAACCCAATCAATCAATCAATCATTAGTTGCAGAGAGGTGTTTATGTTGTGAGATATTTACTTCGAAATATATTTATTTTTTCTGCAAGATATCTTCATAGAGAGGTGTTTCCGAGGAATATATTAACATGGATATATATGTAAATGTATAGATACGTATATGTGAACACATAGCGATGTAGTATAGAAAGATAGTTACAATACGAACGATATTTATAAAAGGAAAATGTGTATATAATTTTATTTTGGCTATTCCCTCGATCGTATAACTTAGAATACAGACACCACTGGAATGACGTCGTATACCGCAATGTTTGGCGCGGTATTTGTAATTCTAACATATTATTGGTTGATTTTTTTAGGCGATGAAATTACTGCGCAATGTTGTGTTTTGTGCAAAGTTTTTAGTTTTTATCACAACTTACTACGTTTTCGTTAACTATTAGTAAAAGTGTTGGTTGTCTTTCTAAATTGAATTATAAGAAATAACCATGATTATTTTTGGGGTTATACGGTTAATACCGAAACAATTGTGTGCATTTTTGTGCATAAACTGCTTTGTGGATTTATGCAAAGTGCAGAGTTTTTCAGGATATTATCCAAACTAATCATGGTTGTTCCTTTACTATAGAGATGTTTATATAGAACAATGTTTACAAAGGGAGATGTTTCTATGTAATAAGGTTTACAAAGGGACATGTTGATATAAAACAATGTTTACAAAGGGAGATGATTCTATGAAATAATGTTAACAAAGGGACATGTTGATATAGAACAATGGTTACAAAGGGAGATGTTTCTATGGAACAATGTTTACAAAGGGACATGTTTATATAGAACAATGTTTACAAATGGAGATGTTTATATAGAACAACGTTTACAAAGGGAGATGTTTCTATGAGATAATGTTTACAAAGGGACATGTGGATATAGAACAATGTTTACAAAGTGAGATGTTTCTATGAAATAATGTTTACGAAGGGACATGTTGATATAGAACAGTGTTTACAAAGGGAGATGTTTCTATTAAATAATGGTTACAAAGGGACATGTTGATATAGAACAGTGTTTACAAAGGGAGATGTTTCTTTGAAATAATGTTTACAAAGGGACCTCTTGATCTAGAACAATGTTTACAAAGGGAGATATTTATATAGAACAATGTTTACAACGGGAGATGTTTATATAGAACAATGTTTGCAAAGGGAGATGTTTCTATGAAATATTGTTTACAAAGGGACATGTTGATATAGGACAATGTTTACAAAGGGAGATGTATCTATGAAATAATGTTTGCAAAAGGAAATGTTTATATAGAACAATGTTTACAAAGAGAGATGTTTATATAGAACAGTGTTTACAAAGGGAGATGTTTATATATAACAATGTTTACAAAGGGAGATGATTCTATGAAATAATGTTAACAAAGGGACATGTTGATATAGAGAAATGTTTACAAAGGGAGATGTTAAAATCGAACAATGTTTACAAAGGGAGATATTTATATAGAACAATGTTTACAAATGGAGATGTTTATATGAAATAATGGTTACAAAGGGACATGTTGATATATATCAATGTTTACAAAGGGAGATGTTTCCATGAAATAATGTTTACAAAGGGACTTGTTGATATAGAACAATGTTTACAGAGGGAGATGTTTCTATGAAATAATTTTTACAAAGGGACATGTTGAAATAGAAAAATGTTTACAAAGGGATATGTTTAAATCGAACAATGTTTACAAATGGAGATGTTTATATAGAACAACGTTTACAAAGGGAGATGTTTCTATGAAATAATTTTTACAAAGGGACATGTTGAAATAGAAAAATGTTTACAAAGGGATATGTTTAAATCGAACAATGTTTATAAAGGGAGATGTTTAAATCGAACAATGCTTACAAAGGGAGATGTTTATATAAAATAATGTTTACAAAGTGACATATTTATATAGAACAATGTTTACAAAGGGTGATGTTTATACAGAACAATGTGTACAAAGGGAGATGTTTATATAGATCAATGTTTACAAAGAGAGATGTTTATATAGAACAGTGTTTACAAAGGGAGATGTTTCTATTAAATAATGTTTACAAAGGGACATATTTATATAGAACAATGTTTACAAAGGGACATGTTGAGATATACCAATGTTTACAAAGGGAGATGTTTCCATGAAATAATGTTTACAAAGGGACCTCTTGATCTAGAACAATGTTTACAAAGGGAGATCTTTCTATGAAATAATGTTTACAAATGGACATGTTGATATAGAACAATGTCTACAAAGGGAGATGTTTATATAGATCAATGTTTACAAAGAGAGATGTTTCTATGGAATAATGTTTACAAAGGGACATATTGATATAGAAAAATGTTTACAAGGGGAGATGTTTAAATCGAACAATGTTTGCAAAGGGAGATGTTTCTATGAAATAATTTTTACAAAGGGACATGTTGATATATAACAATGTTTACAAAGGGAGATGATTCTATGAAATAATGTTAACAAAGGGACATGTTGATATAGAAGAATGTTTACAAAGGGAGATGTTTCCATGAAATAATGTTTACAAAGGGACTTGTTGATATAGAACAATGTTTACTAAGGGAGATGTTTATATAGAACAACGTTTACAAAGGGAGATGTTTCTATGAAATAATTTTTACAAAGGGACATGTTGATATAGTAAAATGTTTACAAAGGGAGATGTTTCTATGTAATAAGGTTTACAAAGGGACATGTTGATATAGAAAAATGTTTGCAAAGGGAGATGTTTCTATGAAATAATAGTTACAAAGGGACATGTTGATATATAACAATGTTTACAAAGGGAGATGTATCTATGAAATAATGTTTGCAAAAGGAAATGTTTATATAGAACAATGTTTAAAAAGGGATATGTTTATATAGAACAATGTTTACAAAGAAAGATGTTTATATAGAACAATGTTTTTTATGCAAAGTGCAGAGTTTTTCAGGATATTATCCAAACTAATCATGGTTGTTCCTTTACTATAGAGATGTTTATATAGAACAATGTTTGCAAAGGGAGATGTTTCTATGAAATAATGTTTACGAAGGGACATGTTGATATAGAAAAATGTTTGCAAAGGGAGATGTTTCTATGAAATATTGTTTACAAAGGGACATGTTGATATTGAAAAATGTTTACAAAGGGAGATGTTTCTTTGAAATAATGTTTACAAAGGGACTTGTTGATATAGAACAATGTTTACTAAGGGAGATGTTTATATAGAACAAAGTTTAAAAAGGGAGATGTTTATATAGAACAACGTTTACAAAGGGAGATGTTTCTATAGAATAATGTTTACAAAGGGACATATTTATATAGAACAATGTTTACAAAGAAAGATGTTTATATAGAACAATGTTTTTTATGCAAAGTGCAGAGTTTTTCAGGATATTATCCAAACTAATCATGGTTGTTCCTTTGCTATAGAGATATTTATATTGTACAATGTTTACAAAGGGAGATGTATCTATGAAATAATGTTTGCAAAAGGAAATGTTTATATAGAACAATGTTTACAAAGGGAGATGTTGGTTAAGGTAGGTGTTGAGATGTCAATGTTACACTGTCTTTCATAAAATAAACCACATTACATCATAGCACAGTCGATCATATTATGTTTTATTCTACAGTAGAATTTCCTTGATCTTCAATCCGACAGTAGGGATAACTGTACGTTACGTGTTGAGAAGTCAAACACTTCACTACAGGTAATTTTCCATTTGATAGAGACACAATTATAAGTGCCACATGTAGTACAGAATTTGCTCCTCGACTGAGCCTGATTTCACACGATGTTTTTTTTGTTGTTGTAAGGGATGGGGTTAGGGGGTTGTTGTCGTGCTCTCTGTTTTTTACCTTTTAGTATCTCTTAGACTCATAATGTTTGTTAGAACACCTGATATATTTGTATTCAATTTCGGTTACTCCTTCGTCATCCAAATTCCATGAAACACATTTTCACGACGTTTGTAACGTTGCCATTGTTTTAATAGATCATGCTGTCCGGAGCGTGGAAGTTCCTTCCGCTCAAGGTCCGAAGATCGCTGGATGGCCTGGGAGGACGCCGGGAAATCGACTACACGTGGACCGATTGTATCGGCTTTAACATTGACCTTTTGTCTCCAGAACTTCATACCGTTTACATTGATATGTACTTCACACAAATCAGCCAATCGGAGACTTATGTCACAAGTTTTGTGAACAACATGACGTCCTCCCTGGAACATGCTACCACCCAGTCCTCAGTCATGTCTGATTCCACGAAAATGGTGGCTTCAGAGATACTTGGCAGCGTTTCATCTAAATTCTCTACGGTACAGGAAGTTCGTGACGTCAACGTTCTTATTTCAAACGTCCAAGTGAACATGACGTTTCTACAGCTCGGTCACAGGTACACGGGGCGGAAGTACAAGCGGCAGGTATTGGACAAACTATATACCCCAGTGAGAGACCAGGAACCGCACTGGTATACTGTCTATCCCTACTACGACAGAGAAACAGTCACACTGGGTGAGTTATCAGCTAATATAAAGACTTTGAATTCCGATATTAATTTGAAAGATGAACGTAAAACCCATACATGCGATTGTACCTTTAAAATTTGATGATAAGTACAGTATGTCAAAAATGAATTACACTGCGTCACGCAGCTGTTTCGTCCTTCTAGGACATAATTTAACAAAAACTGTTAACACTAAGAAGAAAATATTTATAGTGTATGACGTTATCATAAGGCTTACACTTATTGGTACAATATGTACATCTCCAGTGCTTCCGACGGCGATCACAGCGCAGGAATTGCAGCTTAAACCGCAATTTTTCATCTATAGTACACTCGGACGACAAATAGCATCGGAGCTCCTAGAATCGATTTACGGTACGTCAGAACCACTACATTGATAGGTAGTGTATAGTACCAACTTATGGTAAGTCAGAATCATTAATTTTATTAATGTTAATATGCAGTAAATACAATCGAATTTAGGCACGTTAGAAATGCTTTATCAACATGACACCTCTAGGACCGGTCTACAGAACCTAGGAAACTTTGTATCGATACAACTTTCAAAACCGGCCAATGTAAGTCAGAAACAAAAATCAAAATAATTTGTAATAATTTGTAATATTCTAACTGATAATGTATTAAACACAATAGTCTTAAACTAGGAGTCTTGACCAGTTAGTCTACTAAATTGAAAGTCTACAAAGTCTGTAGCTTATGCTGCGGTTTTTTTCTTATATTTAACATGAATATGTATTTTAAACGTATATTTAGGTGGTATGGATAACATACGAATGACCTTGCCCTGGTGGGATGACGTGTCCATAACGTCTTTCGATGACGTCATGAAATGTTTCTCCAGCGATGTGACTGACATAGGATTCGTAAGTGAACCAGTAATCACCGCTGTGTAGTCCTCGCTGATATCCTTGTTCCATTCTGTGTAGTCCTCGCTGATATCCTTGTTCCATTCTGTGTAGTCCTCGCTGATATCATTGTTCCACTCTGTGTAGTCCTCGCTGATATCCTTGTTCCATTCTGTGTAGTCCTCGCTGATATCCTTGTTCCATTCTGTGTAGTCCT